AAAAGTCTCTAGATTTGGCGCTAGGAGCTTTTTAGAAATCAAAGTGCTAGAGGGGTCTGAAAAGTGGCTAAATATAGCGACTAAAGCGCTAAGTTGGCAACACTGCTCTTTGCATGGTTTGTTTTCAAATGGTTTGCTGCTGTCTGTTTGGACCTTTCTGAACATGTGCAGCAAATGGACATCCCAACTGTCCATCATTCTGGTGATATGTTTACGCCCCCATTCTCATTTATTGGCGGTGAGTCCGACATAGTGGAAAAACTGCTTGTATGAGCGATGCAAACAGCAACTTTAAGCAGCGTGCACAAGGAGAAATTGGTCTTTAATAAAATCTCCTATTAAGCCGGTCAGTTAAAAAGTTTCTGTGTTGCTTTAAGAAGAATAAATCTTCAGTTTTATGCTGAAACTCGTCTGGAAGCAGAACATTTTGGTAAATGATCTCAGTTTACTGCAACGACTGAATGTTAGGGCCCCTCTCACATCTTGGCAATTTAGCCACCATGACTTAAGGCTGATTTAGAAACCGGGTTAGTCTGCGTGTGCTTCGCCATGAAAGCAAATGACCCGAGTGTCTCTTTGGCAGACACTCTGCTGCACCTCTCTAAATTGTAGGTGACCGCAGACAGGAGGCCTCTGATTGGTCAAATCTACATTTGTTCTATTCTATGTATATTTCCTGTTTGGTTCCTTACCGGCTTGTTTTGTTTTTATGACCGAAATTGCGGAAAACAACTCGTGAAGTTTGACCCGCTAGAAGAGCGCGGTGCGCGAGAGCGCTAGGACCCTTTTTCCAGTTGGATCCCTGCTCTTTTTGGCCCTCATGTCCCTCCGTTGTCCCATAAGCTTCCTCACCTCCTCGGCCGTATCTAGACCCACAGCTAGTTCCTTATTGGCCCTCTTGCGTTTTGGCGTGGAATATCAAAAATATCTGTGACAATTTCACTGCGACACACTGCTGATAACCAGGCCTTTATGATTAACTTACACTTAACGTACGTCAACGATCCGATAACTTACCTGTAACATATGCCCCATGCATGGCATACGTCAGAAATTATGCCCAAAATTTCCTGACATATGTCGATGTGTTTCAGCGTACCCTAGCGTGTTCATAACTTTTGCAAAACTTACCCGTAACTTCTCCAACGTATGGCAGCGTTTTTTTCAGATTTTTCATACGCTGGTCTTAATAATCAAGGTGTGACAGGAGCTTTGACCTGCGTACGAATGAAACCTGACAATCT